GGACTAGATGACCTCCTGAGGTCCCTTCCAATCCTGATATTCTGTGATTCTGTGAAGGAAGGAGCCCAAAGTTGGAGCATCCCAGGATGGGGGTTCAATATCCTATGGAGACAGATACATGCGCAGGGTCAGGTCAAAGCCCTTGTTTGCTACAAAGGCAGGGAGGATGCATTTGGTACCTTTGGTGTCAATAGGATAACCATAAGTAACCCCTTAGACTGAACAACAGCCACTGAATTGGGCCTCCTAAAACTCTCAAAAACTGGGATGGTGTATGGCCAAAAAAAAAAAAAAAAAAACCCAAAAGGAGAAGTGGGGCCGAAAAAAAAAAAAAAAAAGGAGAAAGAAAAAAAAAAAAAAAAAAAAAAAAAAGACCTTAAAGGAGAAGTTGTGCGGATTCTATTGAAAAACAGGGCTGTAGCTTATCTGTCCAGTATGCAGAGAAAACAACAATCCTGCTGCTTCCCAAAGTGAAGGAAGAAATGGGTAGGATGAAAAAGAATGGTATAACAGTGCGGTACTGAATCGACAGAGGCGTGTGCCCTAATGGTGCCTGTTACGAGAAAAATGGGCATTTCCATATCTGTGAAGACCTATTGAGGCTCGGTGAAGCAGTAAGGAGAGAAAGTCATATTCTTTCCACCATGGACGGTATCGTCTCCAACTTCGCTGGTACAACAATTTGGAGCTAAAAGTAGCTAATCTGTCATCTAAAAACCATTCTCTTTATGAACTACTTTAAACAGACTCTGTGTGGATAAAGCACAGGAATGCACTGAAGTAACTAAAGACTCTGTTGATCTCATCTCTAGTACTGCCATTTTATGAGCATTTCAAGTCTACGGCACTTTCGGAAGACACAAACAACAAAGGTCTCAGTTACACCAAGATGACTGGAAGCCTGTAGCATATTATTCCAGATGACTTTCAGATGCTGAGACCAAGTATGCCCAACTAGAGAGAATGTTTGTCGAGTGTATGTGCATGCAAAGAGGGCCACAAGATATTTGCAGGGTCTTATCTATAGAAAGCTTATAACAGACTGCAAGCCACTCGTGCTATTAAAAACAGTAAAAACCTAGACATACCTCCTAAGATGGCACCTACATTTTTTAAGATTTAGATTTATTCAGAATACTGCCCCCAACAAAGCCCCTGGCATGATATTTAAGAGCGCCATGGATCACCCAGATTTTCCAGAGGCTTGGTATGATATAGAAGCTCATGTAGGTGCCCTTTTGAGTGGTCTGCCAGGCTCGCCGCTGACATTTAGAACTACTAGCACTGATAAACAACTATAAACTGTATCCAATTTGATATGGATGACCAGTCAGACCAGTTACTTGTCAGAGCATCCGCACCCAGCATGTGACTCCTATGGAATAAAAAGAGAACTCGTCAAAGCTGAAGGTCTGATTATCTATGGCACATGTACTCTAGTCCTTCAGGCTTGGCAGGATGCTGTATTAGAAAGGGTACCTAAGGGACTTCACAAAATGCTAGGAGATGGTCCAAATGCTGGTGTGAAGGCCCAGAGTAGGGCAGGTGCTGAACAACAAGGTAGAATCCTGGGATAACCAGAAAAAGCACAAGCCAAAGAACCCCTTGTACCCACATAATTATCCAGAAGGGCTTGGAAACAAATAGCACCTGACCTGTGTGATAAAAAGGCACCTACATGTCTGGGAACCACTGGTTATTTTTCTAAATTTGTAGAAATTCTATTTCTGAATAGACGCACAAGTCAATGGGCTATAGGAATCTTAAAAGGCTTTTTTTTTCCTCTCTCATTTTGGCATTTTGGAAGAAATTGTCTCTCTCAATGGGGCCCAGCCCTGAGGTCCAAGCTTTTGGGATAAAATATTTCTTCCTCTCTCATCACCCATGAGCAGAAGGACTCAGTGTGGTCTCTGAGCAGCATAGATTGTTAAGAGAATTCTACAGCAATAGGATCCCACATTAGCCCAGCTGTTCATCTACAGGGGAAAACAGATCAGTCACCAAGGTAAGTCCATCTTTGCTCAACAGATAAGAACAATGCTACTAACCACAGAGGCAAATCTTTGTCCTAGCAAGTGGTTGAGAGGCTGCTGGGAGATGTGAGATGCCTCAGGATTTCCCCTTTAGCCTTTGGCATACAGATCAAAACTTACCCAAGCCTAAATCAAGAGATCCAGTCCTGATAAAAACGGATAAGGAAAAAAACTGGACATGACTAACTGTTGCAGCTACACTCTGACAGTCTTCATGGTAGACGCTGATCAAAGTGTTTAGCACAGAAAGATACAAGCAGCATTTTCAGCTAGTTCTGGACGCAGCTGAATCACCCTGTGATCCCAGTAACCATTGTACCCACCGCACAGCCTTGCTGAAAGGAGATATTTCTGTTGAGACTAGCGTACAGGAGTTAATGCCTCTGCGGATTTGATGATCCAAGTAAATCAATTGAAGAAAACCCTCCTCAAGACCAGAAGCTGAGCAGAGCTGGGTTAATAATGAATCTGGGGAGTTTATATTTTTGTAAAGTATTAAAGCTCATTAAAAGTTATTTATAAAGAAAATAAAGTGAGGGGGGAGGGGAAGATGTGAAGTGATGTGCGCTGTGTTCTTAAAACTGTAGCAGGAAGCCAGGTAGGAGTTGGATCCGGGAAAGTACAGTGAAGCGAAGAGAGAGAGCACGTTAGGGGGATACTGTTTTCCTTATTCTAATAAAGTTCCTTGTTTCAGTGTTAGAGGAAAGTGACCCGTGACAAATGCAGCCTGAGAGTCAGGTGAAAGCTCGGGTCAAGTTCTGATTTATCCCAACTGGTTTGCTCATCCTTCATTACTTTTCTTTTTAATTAATCTCACTTTGCAAAGAGCCACTTGGCAGCTATGTTAGCTCTCTCTGTTTCCCATTAACTTCTTGTTTCTTTTCTTTAAGCCCTGGTGGCTGTTTTCGATTTATTAGATGCATGGCAGGGGGGGAGCACAGAAAGGAAGGCAGAGGTTCAGGCTCCTGAGAGGTACAGTTCTGGGCTCAGGGAAGAAGTCGGTGGTATCTGACAGGACACTGCCACTCTTTGATTAAAGCATTTGGCGGCTTTGATAAAAGGCCCTTAACTGCTTGTGCCACTCAAGCCACTGGAGAGATAGCGAGGAGACAGCAGACGAGGGCTCCCTTTGCCAGTCCCCTGCACTTTCACAGGGCCATGCCTGCCGAAAGGGGCTGGTGAACTTATTGCTGAGGAGATATCGTCTCTTCTGTGACAATAAGAGGAAGTGAGATAATTGGGGGATTGAGGGAAACCACCCATGGAGCCACCACTTAGCGGGAATCCCAAAACTGGAAGGAAACCTCTGTTGATTCCTTATCACTTTACAATGTGGAGGCCGATGATGAATTGCTTTGTGTGGCCGGGACACACAGCAGTCAAAGATTGCCGTGAGTGTTTGTTGTTGTTCAGGCTTTCTTGTTTTAAAAAAAGAGCATGGGGGAAGAGGGTCTGGCAAAGGTTACGCTAGTTGTGCAGTGGAGCGGCGCTCAGATGCACCGGAGGCGGGGCTCGAACTAAGGGAGGGAAAGGGTAGCAGCTTTCTCATGACTAAGGCCTGGTCGACACTAGGGGGGGATCAATCTAAGTTACGCAACTTCAGCTAAGTGAATAACACAGCTGAAGTCGACGTACTTAGATCGACTTACCGTGGTGTCTTCACCGGGTGAGTCAACTGCTGCCGCTCCCCTGTCGACTCCGCCTGCGCCTCTCGCGGTGCTGGAGTACAGAAGTCGACGGGAGAGCGCTCGGGGGTCGATTTATCGCGTCTAGATGCGATAAATTGACCCCCGCTGGATCGATCGCTGCCCGCCGATCCGGCGGGTAGTGTAGACATACCTTAAGTGAGCTGAAGGGCAGAGTCTGGCTCTAAAGGGGGTGGTCTCCTGGACAGGGGGTGGACTCATGATCTAGGAGGATTGGGTTCTGTTCCTGACTCTGCCGTTGACTTGCTGCGTGTGACTTTGGCTCTGCTTAGATTATAACATCCTCAGGCATTCCCCATGTCTTACTGCATGTATTTGCAGCAGCTAAAAGGATGGGTGATCTCAGTTGGACCTGTTAGGTGTTACCATAATGCTACTAAAGGGGACCTATAGCAGCCTTATGCCTGAGGAATCAGTGCTAGGGAAGTCACTATTTTTTCCCCTCTGGCATGCCTCTATGGCTCAGTCTTGCAAGCTTTTCCCCCCTGACTGCATATGCCTTACTCCTGCTGGCGAGCAGCTATTCACAGAAGCAGTCCCCCTGATGTTAGCAGGATTACTCATGTCTGTAATTGCTCCTCAGTCTGAATATGGGGTTCCCCGTAAAGCTTTGGCAGGACTGGGCTAAGGTCACACAGCAGTCAGTGGCAAAGAACTCAGGTCTCCTGATTCCCAGTTCAGTTCCCTATTCACTGGACCAAAGACTTAAAGGGACAATAGGCCCCATGCAGGCTGTCTGCATTGGGGTGTATTGCACCCAAATATAAGACAGTATTCAGCAAAACACCACTTGAAACCCAGAATATCTAGGTATGTGCATGTTTAGATGAACCCTTAGACCTTCTCAGAGGCTATAGAGACAGATAAGTCACCTTATCTCAGTCACTGGCTATCTTTCTGGATGTGGATTTGACTTGTAGCTGTGTTGCCACCTCTGTGTTTCAGCTGAGCTGCTCTTTCGGAACCCAGTTGAATCAACTCTGTTGATACTAACAGTGGCAAGGCAGATCGTCAGCCAGTGCAATTCAGCGTCGCTCCTGACGTCAGTGGCACTGCAGTGGTTTACAGCATCTGAGGATCTGGCCCAATGCGTGTAACGCAGGCGACACTGACAATAACAAGCCTTTGCCCATCCAAAGGACTTAACTTTAACCCATGGCTGGGGAAATCAGGTATTTGTGAGGAATGCCAAATGGGTTTGACATCCATTTTTGCATGGGGAACCAATGAGCGAGATGAGGGGAAGTTGCCAGGGCCTGACCTTTTCTCTTGGTGCAGTGGTAGATCTGGCTGTGCTCCTGGGAGATCGGGTACGGGTTGGCAGGCGGTAGCAGGTCCTGGGAGGTGCTAGACACCCCATTCTCGCACTGATACTGGGATGCTAGGTTGGAGGAGGCCGAGAGAACCCTGGTCTCACCACTGAAAGGGCTGTGATTAGAGGCCACTTTTTGTCTCACCGTGCTCCTAGGAACCACTGGGTACTCTTTACTGAAAAACACAGGTGAAAAAATGCAGCACGTTAGTATCGTCCATTTGCTCCAACTTCCAACAGAACCATCTCCCCAAGAATCTACGCCTTACTCGTGTTTTATCGGGATAACACGCTACGGGGGACCATAGCACTGCTTATTTTTCTTCCCTCTAGGTCTCTTTAAACATGTACCTCTCCCGCTCTGACTGCTATTATGTATGTATAATAATAACCAGACCTACTTCTGCCATGCTGCTTACGGGGAATCAAGCTGACTTGGATGTAAATTATATATCGCTTGCCTATTGCTGTTTCTGTTCCTTTCCACCAACCTCCGTCAGTTTGTCTGTCCTCAGATTGTGATCTCAGAGCAGAGTGTGTCTAGAAAGCACACATCCTACAATGGTGCTACCATAAATAAATAATCAATTATAAATAATCTAGCTGAGCACGGAGGTCTGCCTCATCTTGGGGGCACAACAGCGTAGCTGAACCCATGCAAACCCCCGGTGTAAACATGTTGCGCCAGCATAAACTGGGACTTGCTCCCTTGCAGCTAACCTGGTTTGAAGCATCGTTGTAGCTTGCTAAAAACCTCACGGTGGACCAGGGCGTATAGTCCTTTTCATCCATGGTTCGCAAAGCACTTTAGAAACGTGGGTTGGCGTGATTATCACCCTCTGGGAAACTGAGCAGCACCACGGAGGTCAACTGCACCCACTGTGTTATTTGTATAGCAGCCACATCCAAACAGGGCCGGCTCCAGGGTTTTTGCCGCCCCAAGCGGCGCAAAAAAAAAGAAGCCGCGATCGCGATCTGCGGCAGCAATTCGGCGGGAGGTCCTTCACTCCGAGCGGGAGTGAGGGACCGTCCGCCGAATTGCCACCGAATAGCTGGACCTGCCACCCCTCTCCGGAGTGGCCGCCCCAAGGACCTGCTTGGCAAGCTGGTGCCTGGAGCCGGCCCTGCATCCAGAGACCTCAGCCAAGATCAGGACCCCATGGTCTGTCTGTGCGGGCATAGGAGGCTTTAATTGACAGATCATGAGAGGCAGTCCCTGACTCAAGGCGTTTACAATTTAAATAGACAGGGCAGAGAGAGTGGAAGGGGAAACTGAGGCTCGGGGAGGCGAAGCGAATTATTCAAGTTCACCCTGCAGGTAAGTAGCAGAGCCCAGAATAGAACACAGGTCTTCAGTCTCCCAATCTTCTGCTGTATCCACCTCTGATGTATACATGGAGGTTACTCGTGTGACTAAGGTCTGCGAGCTGGAGTCTGGGCCTGATTCTGCAAACACATCCGTGGGATTCGGGCATTAATGGGACATCTTATGTGAGGAAAGGGACTCCTGGTGGCAGGATGGAGCCCTATGCAGGATCAGGCCCCTTGGAGAGAACCCATCGCTGTGGCAACTAGGAGCTTATTTACAAAACTTAACAAAGCCAATTATAGAAAACTCCCTGCAGCAGGCAGCGTTCCTCCAAACCGCTGCCTCTGCTGCTGCCAGAAACATTAGCAGCCATGCTGTCATGGGGAGAAAAAGTCAACCGAGAGCTCAAAGCCAAACAAATGTGTCTCGCATCGTGCCCTGGAGCCGGCCAAATTTTGGGCTCTGGTCGTCTGCCAAGCAGAGAGCGTTGCAAAGGTGGGGTCCCTTCCCCTGAGTTAGCCCATGGGAAGGGCTAGTAGGAGCCCAGCTTTGCTGCAGTGAAGGGCTTGAAGGCCAGAGGCCCCTCTCACATGCCTGGGCTGTACAGGATAAGAAAGAGGGAAAGGGAGTGGTATGAATGCACTGGCCTGATTTTGCAGCACCTTTCCCTCCCAGGGAAGCCAATGGCAGTTGTGTATTGCTAGGGGCTCAGAGATGCACTTTCAACTTGTGCGGGTTCTGCCCCATGCTCTTGTCAGGGGAAGGGTTTTGCCTTCTGGAGAGGGCAGGGGGCCATGGCCCTCAAACATCATGGAGCTCAGGGATCCCCAACTCCGGGTTATATCATCCTCTCTAGCACAGTCAGCAGCCAAGAGTGTTTTCCTCCTGTGTATGCTGCAGCCTCTGTACTCCAGGAACCAGAGTGAGACCAGGGATATAAAGTGTCATTCAGAACTCTGTTTATTAGTTACATGACAAGCTGGATCCTCCGGAGTCTAAGCACCCAGCACCTGAGAATGCCTGCATCGTGCGAGACACCCCTCACAATGGGAGGCCATCTGGTGATTACACAGATTACCAGTGAGGAGTGTGCTCGACCCACTGGCAGCATGGGTCCCAATGCTACATCAGTGGTTGGCCCCCTCTCAGAGGAGCCAGGCTAAAGGGGAGTTTACACTTTAACTCCCGCTTGCATTTCCCCTTGAATCCAGAGGAGAGTATGCTGCATATAGCGCCTGATCCCCAGTCCCTTTTCCCTCTGCCCCAACATACCCTGAGAGCCCCCATTGTGCATGGTCACATGGAGGGAGGGGCTCCCCTAGCCTTGGAGTGGGGGGACAACACAACATTGCTTCATTTCCCTCTCTGTGGCTGCTTTTGGGAACACGGGGGTGACTTTCCATGGTGTTTGTCATGGAGAGAGAGTAAGTCTGTGTAGGACTGGATCATCCCCTCTCTATTCACATGCACAACTCACACAGAAGTTACATATACACACACAGACAGTATAGACCACCACCTTCAAGAGGAAGTGATGGAAAATCGGGGGGTTGCCAAAAGTGTCTGCTTTCAGCTGAAAGTGTTGATTTTTGTTTTTTTGTTTTTCTGTTAAGAAAAACCAAATGTCTGAAAATCAGGATGTTGTTACTCAGAATTGCCACCACAGTGCCTGATGGAGTTGTAATTTGGGTATCTCATGCTCCTGTTCTCCTCTATGGGTTGGGCTCCCCACTCAGACTTTATTTCCTGAAGATGCACAATGGCCATGCCATTTCCATAAGGCATCATCAGCTCCCTTTACATAGAGGGGAGACCCAGGGGAGATGTAGTCTGGCCAGGGAAGCTGGCCTGTCGAAAGAACTCGAAGTACAACTCCCATGGGACACCTCAGTGGCATTTGTCAGAACAGAAACGTTTCGGTTTTCAGCTCAAATATATGTTATTTTGATTTTTTGCCAAAAACTTAAAATTTTCCATGGGAAAAACCCCTATTTTTTGACCAGCTCTATATAGAATGTCCTTCTTCCAACTTGCTTATCTATCTACCCATCTATCCATCTATCCAGACAGACATCTACAAATTTGTATCTTGGTCTTCCCTGCGGTGTCTAAGTTCTCACAAAGAGATTTCTCTGGCACCATCTAAAGCAGCAGTCGTCTTGAAACATTTATTAATGTTTGCAGCGCACACTTGATATGTACTGTGAACATTTATCATCTGAGATTGCCCCCTTGGTCTTTAAAAATGCATTAGACATTTTTCAGTGCCGAAAAGTGACTGCTCCAAAAATAGCCAATTGTAATCGTAGGCCAAAGGTTTAATGGAACGCAAGGTTTTACTTATTGCTGGCACAGAAAGCTTGCTGGGTGTAGGACAAAATAACTGCATGAAGGGGGACAGGGGAACGTGAAAGGCTGCATGCTACTGGCAAGTGTATTCGGCCTTCTGAGCAACAAGGGGATACTGTTGTCATACAGCCAGAATGCCAGGGCTCTACTTTTATATTACGATGTTAATGTAGTACGTTTTTTTCACATTAAACATTGTATATAAAAAGGCTGGTTTAGGAAAGAATTTACAAGGAGGGAAGCTATTTAGGGCGTTCGAAAGGACTAATGGTAAATGTTCAGTTACTGTATTTTATTAGTTTTGCAGTAGAACTGAGGGGCCCCAATTGAGGTCAGGGCCCCATTTTCTAGGCATTGTACATACACATAGGAAGAGGCAGTCCCTGCCCCAAAGAGCTTACAGTCTGAACAAGCAAGAGATAGCCAGAAGACAGTATTCTTTTGTTTTATTACCATTTTACTGGTGGGCAGCTGCGGCCCAGAGAGGTTAAATGACTTGCTCAAGATCACACACAGGAAGCTTCTGGCAGACGCAGGAACTGAGCCTGGTTCTGCTGCGTCTCAGGCTCCATCTATACTTAACCTGCTATGGCAGCACAGCTGTTGCACTGCAGAACTTCAGGGTAGACACTGCCTATGCTGATGGGAGGGGTTCTCCCCTGGGTGTGGGGAATCCGACTCCCCGAGAGGCGGTAGCTAGGTCGATGGAAGAACTGTTCCATAGCCTAGCGTTGTCTACGCCAGGGGTTAGCCCGGCTTGAATGCATCGCTCAGGGGTGTGGCTTTTTCACACCCTGGAGAGACGTAGCTATGCTGATTTAACTTTTCAGTGGAGACGAGCCCTGAGTCTACCGCCCTAACCACAAGGCCTCACTGTCTCTCTTAAAGCCAATGGGAGATGCATGGCTAAAACCCTACACAGCTGTTTTAAAATCTGCCCCCTTAACAGAGAGCAGGGGGGGGGAAAGGAGAGAGAAAAGAGGGGAGGCAGGGGGAAGTGGTCCTTCTCCATGCCCCTGACCAGCAGCAGCAGGGAGGTCAAGGGATGACGGATTCCTGGAGTGATTTCTGCCTGCCAGACAGCGGCACCAAAGCAGCCACTGGAGGTGGGGATCTGGAATGTCTCTGTACAGCCTGGCTGGCAGTACTAGAAAGCAGCTCCCATATGTGGTGGCTAAGTACAGTGGGTGCAGAGTAGGGAACTCGCCACGTGTCCCATGTGCCCTGTCAAATCAGCTCATGTTTTAAATACCAAATCCTCACCACAAACTGCTCAGCAACAACCCATAGGGCTTATAAAGAATCAGAGAAAATCACCAGCTGTTCTGCTCATGAATAGAAAAGGGAAGACATTTGGGGGACATAGAGGGGGGGGATAAATGATCTGTGATGAATTATTTGCCCATTTCTAGTAAAATCTATTGCATGCTCAGAGGAATGAATCCTTGCTCAGTCACAGTGCCCATCGACATCACTAGGAATTTTACCTGGCTAGCCCTGAGCAATATGTTTTGAGCA